AATGATACTTTTCCATATGTAATCCTTGAAGGACTTACCTTGAAATAGTCCCCAAATACAGAGGACCACGAATATAATATGGACTATATATGAAAAGACCCATGTTAAAAAGAAATTTTTCTAGAAATTACTCTTTAAAATCTAGAATAATTTTGTTATCTAGTGTTAAGTAACCTTTCCCATTCCCTTGGCACTATAAATTCAATGCGAACTACAAAGCCACCAACTTGTCATGATTAAGGCACTGGTTATGGATAAACAATGGATACACTATATACAAATCTGAAGTTAAGGAGGCACACTGTTAACCTTTAGATTTTGAAAAATAACACTGAAAGTCCATGGCTCATCATGGCTGTTAATCTTTGTTCGTGAACTGAACTTACCCATGATTAGGATTGTTTCCTGTTGTGCCCAGGCCTAACTCATGCATATTTGCCTTACCAACCAAAATGACACCACAGCTGCGTAATCTTGAAACACAAACAGCATCTTTTTCAACTTTATAAACCTCGTGCAACCATGTTGTAGCAGCTGTAAATGTGCAAAATTTGTAAATGAGCATGGCAAAGAGATAGGTAAAAGAGGAGACAAATTCTAGATATACCCTTTGTATAATGATGGTTGAGATCAATGTCATCCTTAATTGCCACAAAAATTCCATCCAAGATTGACAATGGGTTTCCTGCATAGCCCACGGTGAAATAAGGACTTATCTAAAACAAAAGAGTTTTTGCAAATAAATAATGTCACTTATGACCCAAGCATCCTTTTGAATTTATAATTGTAAATTGTAATGAAATATTTATCAAACAATATACGACGTTTACCCCTTCACTTTTTTTTCGTCCATCAAAAATTAAGTTTCATGCTTCTCTTCTTTCATTTTAACAAAATGAATATGTGGCTCACAACATTTCTCTCTCTTCTCTTAACAAAATCCAACCACACACTTTCACTTTCCAACACTTATCTTAAACTCCGTGAAGTTAGATTACGAATTTGTTTTTGGGGACGTAGAGAGTGTATGGAGCCAAAGTGTCCATTATCAATGGGGCTAAAAGAGTCAATTTTGACAATGTTCTAGCTTTGGGTTAATAATGGACTAAATCAAAATGCAGCATTAAACTTTACTTTATTCTTGCTCCCTACGAAGTTTTGGGCAGTAAATGCAGCAAGGATCTATAGGAAACAATCTCCCTGTTTTTATAGAGGTAATAATGTGAATATCCCCCCCCCCCCCCGACCCCAACAAAGTTAAAATTAAACTGGTTGTCATTATGGTTGTAGGGAGTAAATGAATGTAACATGTGAAGAGTCTAATTACCATCCTCAAATCTTTGTGTGGAAGCTGTAGCCTGTTTTCTAACCTCATCAGGGTTGAACGATATCAATAGGGGGGACATTGGGTTCTTATTATCAAACTCCTCCATGGATGAGATAAAGTGGTCAGCAACCTGTAGCAAAATGTCTGCTATCATGGATAATTATACAAAGTAAAAGATAGAAGGATGAAGATATAAAAATTATAGGCAACTTGCCACTGATGGAGTTGTTAACTTTGATCTATATGCATGAGCATAGTCACGAATCTTCCAGTAGCGGAATGACACATTTGAACTAGAGCTCCAGTTGCTCATGGGACCATAATGTGGGAGACAGTTTAAGGCAACACCAACTCTGTCTTGAGGGTTCCCATCTTCTTCCAAGAAAGATACACAATGCTCTGGGTCTAAACTCATGTAGTGCAAGCATTGGGTCAATGCCAAGTTTAACTGTTTACATGCTTTTTAATCATAAGCCACTACACACACACACACACATGATATGAGGTTTTCTACGTGACATTATGACTTAAATGATCAAACCAAATAATCTGCATTTTTTTCCATTGGTAAAATAGAATGGACAAAGCTATACAGCTAAGTACCCCACCAACTATCAGGAATAATAGGGGGACAGAGTATGTGAAAATGAAATAGAAAAATAGAAAACAAAAAATATGCTCAAACTCAATTCATCAATTTTAGATATCTAAAATTATACAAAGACTATGAAATCTAAATGAATGTAAGGTACTAAAAAGCTTCAATCAAATTTGATTTTCACTCATATTTTACAAGGTAAATTGAGACCAACAGAAATCATGTTTCTAAGCATCTTTTTCATTTCCCTTTCATGTTTTCTTTACCTAAAAAGAAGTTGCAAAGAAAACACTCCGTATAATACAAACGAATAAAATGAGTATAAAAGTGAACCTTGAAGCGGGAACTCAGGCTTAAACATGGGAGTCTCTGGAATGGCGGTATTTGTCAACATCTGTCCATCACAAATAAACAATGATCAACACTTAATCCCACTTGACACAGTCATACAGATGACAAACAATAATCCATGATTTTTAACACTTAAGAGTGAGCGGCAATCACTAAGTAGACCTCTACTACTCTATTCTGATTCTTCAAGTGTTCCATAATCAATGACCCGATCCCTGGTGCTTCAGCTAACTTGACAAACAACTGCAACCCAACCCCAGTCAAATGTGGAGCTGCAAATTCAATTGATCATCCAAAACCCCCCAAAATCAATTCAAGCAGCGAGATAAATCAGTCAAAAATCAAAAAAAAAAAAAAAAAAAAGTGGAGCTGCAAATAACAGGAAACATCTCAAATCGAGCCATGACCTTGAATTTTTTCCGGCACGTACTTCACCGTCGTCAAATCGACTTCACTAGCCGGCAACATCACCTTCTTCTTCCCCATTTTCCTACAAAAATTAAACCATCCAATGATCAATACCACTTAACAGGACTCAAAATTTTAAAAACCAAAATCCACAGAAACGCGAAATAAAGGATTAATACTGAACGGACCTCCTAATTATCGAATCCGTGGGAGTCAAAAATATTGTGAAGAACTGTGAATCTGATATCGTACTCCAGCGGCGGTGTTTGAAGAAAAATCAATTGGGAAGTAGAAAATGATTAGCGATCGATGATCGTTGGTTTGACTGATGCGGGAATGATAAATGAAGGTCGGCGCCATGGCCAGCTTCCTTCCACGCTGGCCAACTGCCTCATTCATGGCGCCTCTTTCCCAAAATAAATTTTGGCAAAGGTGCAAAAGGGAATGCAAGAGCTGCATGTTAACTTTGCAAGAAAAAATGAAAAAAAAAGAGTGATAGCATTTTGACACCAAATACACATTAAAATGAATATAGACATACTCCCTTCGTCCAAAAATGATCTTCCCATTAGCTTTTTCACGGTCACCAATATTATACTTTAACCATTAATATCTATATTTATACATAAATATATTTTATAAAAATTTGATATTTGAAAACTACGTTTCATTATGAATATATTAATATTAAATTTACATCATAATACAATGTGTTTTTTCCACAAATCATAGTCAAAGTTTAGAAACTTTGACCAAGAAAAGTCAAATGTGAAGAACATTTTCGGACGGAAGGAGTACCTAACATTAAAGCGAATATAGCCATATCTAGATATTTATTATCTATGCACATACAGATATTAAATATTTAGAGGTACCCCAAGTGTATATACTTCATTTTGTAACTACATATTCCTGCTCATTTTTTCTTTCTTTTTACACTAAAAAATGTGTGGTACATAGTACAAAGAGTATTTGAAGTACATGGGATACACTTTTAGGATATCCCAAGCATTTTTCAAAATTTATGGAGTTTAAGTCTTAGTGTCTATTAGGTACACAGAATTAATGGAATTAGAATTGAATTGGAAATTTAAAATTTTATGAAATTAATTTTGATAAAAGAATTAGAATTATTATTCTCAATTCTAATTTCATAATTTGAATTCCGAGTACTAAACTGAGTCTTAAGTTATTCAGTGTAGTACCCCTCTTCCCTTTCGGCCAACTCAACCACAAGTTAATTTTTCTTTTATCTTCCTTTTTTCCTCTTTCAGATATGTACCTCCTTTTTTCTTCCTTTTTTTGTCTATTTTATTAATATTATTTTTAACACTTAATTTCATTTAAACTATCTAAACTAAAATTTAAAACTCAAATAGTACAAACTTTAAAATTTAAAAAATTAAAATAAAAAATTAAAACTGGGTTTTTAAAAAATGAAGATTAAAAAAAGGAGATGCTTTTTTTAAGCTTAAATTTAAAAAAGGAAATTTTCACGTATAAGAAATTGAACATTAAAAAAATTAAAACTAAAAAAGAAGCAAAACTAAATAGAAAATTTAATAATAATTTAATACTTGGTCCGTCCATAAGTGTTTGTCCACTTTTGACTTTTGGAAATGTTCATCTAAACACTTTGACTTATCAAATTCTCTCAATGTGTAAGCCTAAAAATAATCATGTGTGATCTTGTTTGATTCGTCTTAACATATAGATTATTAATATATAATTTTTATAATTTTTTAATATACAAATTATAAGATAAAATGGATTAAAGAAGTACATTGGATGGTGTACCAAAACGAAAGTAGACAAACACTCAGAGACGTAGGGAGTAGCATAGAGAGCAACACAGGGTGTGGACGACATAGATCTGCAGTTGGTTGGCGAGTGACAAGGGGTGGAGATAGGCGGTTAGGGTTAGAGTGGGTGGGATATAGAAGAGCTTGCCAAGTCCCACACCAATGGACAAAACATTACACCTAAATAAACAAGTTCAATACAATCCATTGGCATAAAAACTGCACTAAGAGACAACTATGTTAAGCATATACTAAGTGCATGCTTCACTCTTTGTCTCTTTGGCACCAATCTACAATTAAAATCTAATTTATCACCTCTCAGTGACCGTCCAACCAGGTCTAAAGAAGCCCTTGAAGATGAAACTCATCTTTTTTTATTAGTATGAAGTTTTTTTTGGAGGCACCCAAAGATACACTCTGCATTTGTTATTATTATACGGAGTAATTAATATTATTATCATTATAATATTAATGATAGCAACAACAAGAATAAGAACAATAATAAATCCATGTAGATAAGATGTTTCATTAATTAAAAAAACTGAAAAGAAGGTTCCAAACAAAAATTGGGAGTTAAATAAAGCAGTGTTCATCACTCAAATGGGAGGTCAAACCAAACCAAAAGGTGACTCAAATGTCATTATCATATAGCCATCCTAAAAGTACCAAACATTTCTTTTAACAGCTCAAAACCTGCAGGTCCAACTCCTTGTAGTGTTAGACCAGCAGCACCCAGCAAACTATTCTAATAATAGTACTATCTCTCAATCTTCAATGACTAACAAAACTGCATAACCTGACATCCTGATTCTACCTGAAGAAGAAGAAAATCACAGCTATATGGATGTCATATAATTTCCATTACCCAAAGATCTCACCGTGAAGACGTATAGTAAGCCTGGATTTAGTTTTATAGTTCTGTAAAGAAATGCTAGCTTTCCTGCTTCTTTAAAGCAAGAAATGTATCGCCAAGTTGAGATTCACAAGCAGCATGTGCGTCTGGTTCCAAAGCTTTCAGGAAAGATCCGGTCAGGTCAAGGGTGGACAAAAAGCCAAACACTTTGCTGCAGAATTTCTTCACATCTGCCCTTCTGGATTTCTTTTCGGGCATGTTTGTCACTAGCACCTTGATCAGATGGCATAGCTTTGGAACCTTTTTCTTTATTGTCTTCTTGGCCTGGTCATGATCGGAGCTTGCGGGTGCCAGTGACTTTAGTACCTCGAGGACCAGATCAAGACCCTCGACCTGCCTGAACTGAAGCTTTGCATTGCTACATTTCTTTAAGAGGAAACTGCAGAGGTGGTGGCCCACCCACGGTCTCCTCTTGAAGATTTCCTTCAAGAAATCGGGTTTGAGTAGAGACTTCTTCTTATCAAAATAGCCTTTCAAAATGCTCCTGAGAAGTTTAAAAGTTCTTTCAAGATTGCCCTTCGAGGAATTTCTGGACTCTATTATCTTCAGAATCCAAAATGTGGAATTCTGTGCAAGTGAATTGATCATCTTGTGTCGGTCCCAAGAGGTGGATTGCTTCTTCTTTGATACATTCGGAGCATAGGCCTTCTTCTTGAATGGCCTGGAAGCCAATTTCAGAAACTTCTCTAAGAGGGATTCAAGTGAAGGAAGCTGAATGGATTCCCCTCTAGGGTAAACCTTTGCTTTAAATATCTTCTTTTGCAATATCCCCCATATACGTTGACTGAGCTGTTCACTGCCTTTGGTGGCATATGGGTTTATCAATGCTTGAGCCAAATTTTGAAAGATTGTCAACACACGTGGATCACCTGGGCATACATTGAAGTAACACATTAGAATGCATTTGCAGATACAAGGGAGAGAAATTGTGAAACATAAGTGTAATTTGCACAAAGAATGAAGTATGGGCAAACGAACTAAGGCTCCCAGGTCGATCAAAATACTCTAATACTAGATCTACATGCATTCCTATCTAAGACCACATCCTCAACAAGAACAAAATGGGTTCAAACTCTCTGTTCAAAATACTACCTCGCTAGAGCTAAATGACGTGTTGGCTTGAATTGCTATCATTAGTTTTCATTGCTTTAAAAAAACTAAAAAAAAATATCTTACGAAAACTATGTCCTTTAAATCTTAATTTATTAGGCATCTGTTTATATTTGCCCCTTATAAAGACAAATCAGATAATCGAGAGAGAGTATTTTGCAAGTTGACCCCAAGTTATCTCAATCTATTTGGCACCATGGGCTTTTATAATAACTGGAATTATTGATGTATCTTTTCCAACTCCCAAACTCAGGAATTAAAAAATAAAAAAAATCATTCAATCCATCCTTTATCTATTTCCCACTTTATTCATCTTGATGATGATGATGCTCCAACATATCATGCCAACAAATTGTTTATTGTTTTAATCAGTAACCCATAAAAAATCACTAAACATGAAACGCAGCCTACTATCTACAGACAAAGTAATTTACAACGAACACAACTAAAACCTCCCCGTCCAGAATTATACTTCTTTCGTCTCACAGTATTTGTCCACTTTCATTTTTACACACCATCCAATGCACTTCTTTAATCCATTTTATCTTGTAATTTGTATATTAAAAAATTATAGAAATTATATATTAATAATCTATATGTTAAGACAAATCAAACAAGATCACACATGACTATATTTATGCTTATACATTGAGAGAATTTGATGAGTCAAAGTGCTTAGATGAACAGTTCCAAAAGTAAAAAATGGACAAAAACTGGGAGACGGAGGGAGTAGTTGATAGCTTCAATAACACAATTGAGGGATTTTGAAAATATAACGCATATGGCAATAGAAACAGAGTTGCAACACTAACACGGTGAGTTGACACCATTTTCATGCATTTGTACTTCATGCAGGGAACAACAGTGCTTTTAATAGTAAAAGACACACTTAATGTGTAATTAAATGCAAGCCATATTAGTGCTATGACAAGAAAAATACTTTAGGCATTAAAGCACTTACGATATCAACACCTATTATATCATGAGTCCATAAGTTGCCCTAAAGATCACAATTCACAAACTATATACTCAGGGAAAAAATATGAACTTGATAGAATATCAAAGACTTGCCTGGATTTTCATGCAAGAAAATCTCCAAAAGGGAGAGTACACGGAGTTTGAATAGAATAAGCTGTGACTGAGCACTATCACCGGAATGGTTCTTCCGTTCCTTGAAAATGCGTGCAAGATAGGTATCCATCCGAAACATTGCATCATCATCCATTTCCACATCAGAATCATCAGAAGCATCCTGAAGCTTTGCACTTCCTTCATCAGCTCCTTTCACTGCCTTAGAGTCATCATTCTGCTTATCACTTTCAGCGGTTTCACTAATCTCGTCTTCATCAGATTCTGTATCTTCAATACCGAGAATATCATCTTCTTCTTCATCATCACCATCATTATTGTGGCGTCTAGGCGGTTTAAGATCTTTTTTAATGATCCTTAACATGCGAACCAATCCTTCATCTGTCATACCATCACAGAAATACTTGAACGTCTGAAAAAGAATATGATTGGCTTTGACAGAGTTAGGACTGGACTAATCATAAGCATATAAATATACTAGAAATTCTAACACACACACCAAGCACAACTACTGTTACAGAATGGAAAAATATTGTGATACATTTAAAAAGGCAAGAACAGATGTCAAAATTATTTACTTAAAACCTACACACTCACACATATATGTATGTGTGTGTGTGCGTGCATAAAACACAATATCTACGGAGTAATAGTTCGATATTGACTATTGAGCTAGATATATGCATAAATTTTCTTCTCTAAAGTAAATTGAACAAATCATAATAATCATTAAAAATACTACACGTACAGAGTATAAAACAAGAGATTATTAATCAATAAATCAAAAAATAATAATAAGCATTAATGTTGAGCAAATATTCTAAATAAAATCAGAATAAAAAAATATAAGAATAACACTCACGAACTATGGCTACACGAGAGGTCAATTAGGTAAGTGAATGCTGCGCAGAGAGGCAGAGAAGCGATGCGCACAAGCAGGGTTATTTTAAATTAGTAATTGAGGTCGCAATTTAAAAGAAAAAAAGACCAATCCATAAAGGGGGTGATGGCAACCGCCTTACACCATAGGTAAAACCGAAGATGGCGAGCGACATGAATCACCTCTCTCACTTCACCTTGACCAGCCTTTTAGAGGTGCTAGAGGGTTGCCGCAGCGTCATAGGTGTCTTAGGCAAAGATGGCGACTGCCATTAATAACTATGGATCCTATGCAACAAGAGAATCATTTTCAACATTACTTCTTAAAAATGAATGTATTTATAAAAACAAACTTGAATCAATGATACTATATTAAGGGTTTTCTTCTTTTTCTGTCATTCACCTGTTCAATGGCTGTCCTCATTGGAGCTGATGACTGAGGCAGAAGAGAAAGCATGGTATCCACAAGCACGTCCATTACAGGAGGAGCACTTTCTTCAACTGGTTCATCCTCCCCAGATGAGCCAAAAAGGTCAAAGGGGCCTATTGTTGCCTTGCAACACATAACAAGTTCAGATGCAGCTTCATAAAATTCTCCAGGTCGTAGTAGAATTTGAAGCAAGAGTTGGATGAGCAAGTATCTCAACACATGACACTTGTTCAAACCCACACACGATGTATAATTTCTCTCCTGCCAACATTTGGGTAAGACTAAGCAAAATAAGCTTGAATAAATAAATAAATAAATATATAAATAAATAAATACGGACTAAATAAATGGAAAATGGAAGATGGAGGGTGCTCAAAATCAGAATCTTTTTTTAGTTCACAAATCATGTGTGTGTGCACGTAATTAGGATCTGATTAAAACAAGCTTTTAGGTAAGAAACGATGGCCATCCAAGCTCTCTGAATCTATATCCCCGAAGATCAATGGATGATATTTTTAAAACGAACTAGCAGCATGTTATTATAAACCTAAAATCTAATAGCAACTTCCATAACTGACTTCAGAGAATTGTGGGAGAAAATATGAGCAGTAATCTCTATGAATGCAAAGTTTTGATAGCTTTAAGTTTTTTTTAATATTCAACTACGAAAAAAAGATATATGTCAAACCTCTCTTTCAAGCAATGCTTCCATTTCATTTATTTTTTTGAATGCTTCTTCATCATCATCATTCAAGGATCTATAGAGTGAAACCGAAGGAATACTTCGTAGTGTGTTTACAAAATGCATGAAGTAAGATCCCAGATCATTTGCTTCGGCACCAACTGCCAAAGCATGAGATCCCTCTGCCTTTTGTGCACTTGATAGCAATGACTGTAGCTGCTCAATGCACATCCTACACAAAGCACTTGAGATGGCTGACTTTGGCCACTTAAACTTTTCATGCAAATCAAATGATGTAACTTCTGACCCTAAAGTTGATGAAAAGAGACCTTGGACTACCAAAAACTTCAAGATTTCTCGTTGAACCTTAAACTTTGAACTTGGGTCTAGTTCCAAATGCTTTAGAACCCCAGGAAGAGATTCTATTACCCAACTTTTCAAAATGTCGGAGAACCCTAGTATTCCATTGGATTCTTTAGCCTCTACATAGCCTATTTCTGAATTTTCATCAGTTGTTTGGCTCTGATCTGAAGGTTCTTCTGAAGTATACCCTTCATCGAGAAACAAGTTCATCAATTCCTGTAACAAGTGCATGCATCCAGATTCACTCTTAATCTCCATCATTAATGTCTTGACAGTTTTTGTCCTAGTGATGCTGTCAAATCTCGCATTACTGTGCCGTTGCAAGGCAACAATTACAGCAACTCTTCTGACATTATCATTTTTTATCCATTCAGACAATTCTTTCATAAAATGCTCTGCAACTTTAAAAAGCCAGGTATCTTTAGCTGAAAGAATATCCATCAAGCACTGGATTAGTTTGCGAGATAACACGATGTTGGCATAATGTGCAGGCAGCTTTGGTAGGAGCAAAAGCAGAATATCAAATGCCAAATTTTTTCGATCATGTGATGATGAGAGAAGTGATCCTTCTAGGATGACCTCGCAAAAGTTTCTAAGGCTTTTCTCAATATCATCTTCTCCCTTGCGGCTCTTTTTGTGCTTCTTTGTAGAGTTTAATGATGATGCAGGATCAAAGTCTTTTATAACACTATCAGGTAATAGAATATTCAACAAGGTGGGCCATACACTATGAATTCGTGGCTGGCAGAATGTAGATTCCTGAGTATCCCATAAAACTTAAAAGTCAAAAAACAATCCAATCTGTAACAATGTTAGCTAAAGAAAGACTGCAAGATAATAGGAATACAGTAGACCAAATACCCAAATATGACCTCGCATTTTTAACAAAATACCCTAAATGAGCACAAACTCTTCAAAAAATCATTAAACTAGTTAACTAAAGTGCCTAAATAATGACTATAGATTTGACATTCATGATTGACCTTGTACGCCGATGGATTAAGAGCTTGTTCTCTTCAACTTATTACTTACGCAATACGTATTACTTATTCTTCATTGTTATTGGAATCAGATGAGATGGGACCAGATCCCAGTTTTGAATCATATCAGATCCAACCTAAAAAGCTCTCAATCCTAATAGGGTTCGGCATATGAAAATTTTAAAAACAATGATATACAAGCTTCAACAACAAGAAAAAAACATCATAAATTCTAACTATTGATAAATTTGGGTGGAAATTTGTTGATTTATAATGTGGATTTGCAATTGCAATTGACCTTAACATAGCTTGCAGCTCTATAAATGTACCTAATCATGCTAGTGTTCCATCTGCATTTTAACATCATTGTTGAGCTTTAGTTCAGGGATAGATGAGACGTTTGAAGAGTTCATGGTCAATCTGGACTTTTTAAAGTACAACAACCTAGTAGAATCTCACAAATGTAGGGTCTTAGGGTCTGGGGAAGTGCGGCTGTTTCCAAGAGAACCCAGCTCTAGCATCAAATCCGGGCTTTTTGAAGAGTACTCACCTTTAAGCACAGCGCAATTGAGGATAGATGATCGGAAGAAAATAAATTGCTGGGGCTATATGGAGAAGGGAGTAGCTTTCCGAACATGTTATCATCAGCTCCAACTTTATCTCGCATTTTGAGAGCCAAAAGCAAAGCATCAGGATCTCCCTTTTCTGTGGCACTTCCAAACCACTCCTGAACTTCAGGAGCTTCAAAAAAATGATTTTGCAGTGCTTTAACCGGTAACTGGATTAAAAGTTGAAGTGGAGCATTAAAAAGATGGAAACACAGAACGACATAGGAGAACAAGATAAAATAATTCTTACTTGTTTAAGATCAAAAGGTGAAGTTGTGATGGACGTATGCAACAATTGATAAATAATTTAGCAGCTCATCAAAAAATGAGAAATTGAATGCTTTTAATTGTTATCACTGATGATCATATGAATTGTGCTCAATTCATGAAGCAAAAATCATAAAATAGAATTGCAACTGGAAGATCATTAACTTAATTAGCTTGCAACACATTTCTGATGATATAAAGTACCTTCTCCGCTAATTCCCATATAATTGAGATGGCAGGTTCTTGCAAATATCGCTTCTTATTTGCCAGCACAAGTACAGAACTAATAAATTCTTTGATATAAGGAGTATCTTTATCTCTAATAAACTCTTCTGTGAGTCTTCCTGATCTTGAAATAGCTCCATAAGCAAACAAGCGACCTAGAAGGCAGTCTCTTGTTTCCTACAAAACCAACATATCATTTTCAAATAACAGTATCAAAAAATTAAAATAGAATTCTGGCTTGAGATATGCTTGATTGTTGGAAAAAAAACTTTCTCTGAAAAAGATGTTCCGTTTAAATAATTTATGTTGACAAATTTTATCATAAAATAGGTTTCTCCCTGCATAATATAATATTTGATTTTAAGAAATAAAAATAAAAATGTTTCAAGAAAACGCTTCTTTTGAAAAAATTGGTTCATTTTCCTGTGGATGCAAGATAAAAGGAAATACAAAATCTACTTCAGGAAAATCTGAAAATGGTTCATTTTCCTGTGGCTGCAAGATAAAAGGAAATACAAAATCTACTTCGGGAAAATCTGAAAATCATTCTTTTTTCCTTCAATCAATAGAGCCTAAATACATGAAGGTATAGAATGGGATTTTCTTACTTGTCCCTTCATTGAAGAAGTGATCTCGACCAAATGAACAATTAGCTTCAAAAGTGAGTCAGTTCTTATGCTAGGAACTGCACTGACCAAAAGACTCAAGCCTAATGCAAATCCTGGCCTTGCATACTGCAATTCATAAAAGTTGGAGAGATCATAAATCAAATACGAAATATCCATGTGTAAAAAGGGGAGAAAAAAAAAGAATTTCCAAAAGTCTCTTAAAATAGAACTTCTAATAGAAAGACACCCCTATTGAAATTATTCAAAAAATACCACTTAATTCGTCACTAAATACTTCATTCGTAGGGAGTCAGGACTGGTGATGTGCAGTTTGAAAAATGCATAGCGAAACAAGCACATGTGCTGATTGGGTGGTGACTCACAGGTCATCAGCAACCAGATATTCAAGTACTCACAAGTCATAGTTGCATAGCTAAGTCTTTTTAATACTCCGTAGCAAACATGAAGAACAGGAAAATATACTTCACAATAGTAACTACAGAGCAGAAACAATGAATTTCTAAGCGGTGGTATACTGAAACACACCTCTCTTGACGAAGAAACTCCCCGAATGAGCCTCCGAACTGCGTACCTCAAAGAAGGGGCACACATATCCAACCCATCTTCCATATCGGCCTCCAACTTCAATTCCCCATCAACAGCTTCCTTATCCTCCAGTTGATCATAAGCCTTCTGCACTTCCTGCAACTCAGTAACCAGCTTCTCCACCGCAGCTTCTCTGAGGGAAGAATCCGCAGCCGAGAGGTCCTTGAACACGCCAATGTGAAACTGCGGCAAATTACCACCGCCACTACTACTCGGCGAAGTTTCCATCTTCCCGTCATTTTTCAATTCCAGAGCCATCTTCTTAGGCTTCGGCTCCGCGATCTCCGATTCCTCCAGGTGTCTGGTTTTATTCTTTAGCCTCCTCTCCTTCTTATTCTGCATTGGATTGGAAGAACTCTTCTTCGTTGAGGATGATGGGGCACCGGTCTCCTTCGTTGAGGATGATGGGGCACCGGTCTCCTCTGTACCAGAAGCTTGTGTCTTCATCTTCTTCTCCGGAAGCTCCGAATCGATGTTGTTAATGGCTGGATTATCCAATCCTTCATCGGCTTCTGCAACTCTCTTCTTCCCCATCTCTCAATGGATGAATAATGATGAATGATGATGATGCCCAGGTCCGGAGAAGAAAAGACAGAGAGCGGAAGGGAAGCTAGGGTGGAATAATTGTAGAGATGATTTGGGTTTGGGTTTGGGTTTGGGCTTGAGATGAGACTAATACAGAAAAGCTAAAACAGGGCACCTTATGTAAATCGGCCCAGTCACCAAAGGCTCGTGTGGTTGGCTTGAGATACATAGGTTTTGATATTTCTCGACATTAAAAAAATTTTACGTTTGTTGAAGCATAAAAAGTATTCAGATTTGATATCTTTAGATATCATAAATTTGTCGGATTATTCCCATACATTTGTAAAAACCACATCACATACTCGTTTGGCTCAAGTTCGGACGCACGGATAGAGGATTCGAATGGATTCATGATTAAAGTTAAAAAATAAGATAAATAGTTGAAGATATTTTTAAGATAGTAGAGAGAAAATAAAGACAAAGAATTGTGTTTGGGTTTTTATTTTTGAAAATGAGAATGATTTTATGTGTGTGTGTGTGTATACACACATTCCGTGTATGGGGAATGTTTTTTTTTGCAATGATAGTATAGCCAATTAGATGAGGCCCGCCTTCAATGTCTTTCTTCTGCCCGTTAAACGTTTGACAAAGCACCACGAACGTCCCAATGAAGTCTCTGGAGGGTGGTGTTTAACGCCCTTGGCGTTAAAAATGGCAAAAACACCCTCAACGTTATGAGTACTTCCAGTGCTCTTAGTCACTAGTGGGATATATCTAAGTCACTAGTGAGATATATCTACCATGTGTTAGCCAAATTCTAAAGCTCACTTGTAAAATGAGAAAGTGTAAGTTATTGTGATAAAGATTATACTGAAATCTCTATAAAAGAAAAAGTGGTCTGAATGTGTTATTTTAACAAAAGAATAAGGCAAATACATCACGAAAGAAGATATATTAAATTCATACTAACGCATATATTTATTAAAACTATTATTATACTTTATTTTGTTTTTTCAAGTAATTCTTAGATGTGTACAACAATATTATAATATTAAAAAAAATTAAATATTTATAATTTTGAAAAATAAATCAAAATAAGAATATATTGGCATTAAAAACTTATTTGGGAAGATAAGTTTATATATTAAAACTTATGACATTATACTTTCTTAAGGTAACTTTTATCACATTATACTTCTCATCAGGTCATTTTCAGGTTGCATATAGAGTCAAAAATAAATTCAGTCAATTATTGTAAGAAAAGGAAAGTCAATAAATTCAAAATTCTTAATCTTGTTTGGTTGGTGGGATAAAGTAGTGAGAAATTACTTTTCAATAATTCTTTGCTTGGTTCTTATAGACAAGACATAGATAGACATGGTCGAGTGGGATGAGTTCACAATATTCTCTCATTTTCTTCACAAAAAAGTGAGGAAAATCACTATTTCATTTTGACACTACATCTTTCTCGCATTTTCTTCTCCTCCCCATTTTCTTATCTTCTCCTTTCTAACCCAATTTACATGTCTTAAATGAAAAATGCTAGGGGTACACTAATAAGTACCCCAAATGCACACCACTCCATCTCCACCACACAATCTCCAGTGTGGCAAAAAAAATTAAAAAATGAATAAAAATTCAATGATTATGATCAACGGTGTACAAATGAAATATACGATTTGGTGTATCCCTAGCATGACTCTTGCTCGAAATGTTACATCTAAAAGGAATGCTAAATCCAAACCACAATATTTATTTATCAATGCAGAAGAAAACATTACATGGCCAGTTCAAGACCACAGCAGGCAAAAACTTTCATGAGCCATTTCCACTTAAAAGTAAGTAAAGTTGAGATTAAACCCAGGCAAACCAAGTACACAACCCTACTAACCAATTGCTTATGTATGTCATGTGCAAATTGCACGGAAGAGGAGCCCGGGCGGTGCCCGTATGAGCCAGTTGACCATTGGATCTCTCACACACACGTGTGTGTGAGAGAAAATATAACAGTTCTAAGACCCATACCGACACTACCAATCCGGGCAGCACCATTTCTAGTGTTTTTATTCATTCCACAAAACCCGTTCTACCAATTCTAGTATTATTACCTCATTTCAACTTGCTTCGCCCTATTTTAGGAAATAGGTATCGCGAGAAATCTCCCACTAGATGACGGGCCCCGTAGACCACGTGATAGGCCATGGCCACAGCAGCTATCTCAAGAGAAAGTTGGCTTAGCTTTGATGAATAGAAAAAGAATTGGTAGAAGTTACTGTAGCTGAGACTAACCGAGCCGGCTTTCAGGTAAAGAACATGAAAACCAACCACAAGAGCAGCAAGATAAGCTCCAGAGAATCGGTTAAGAATAGATGAGGTCGAATTGGTCTGAGGCTTATACACTGGAAGATGAGGTGATAATGGGCGAAGGACCTTCTTATTGTCATCAGCTAAGTTGTCGTGTTTGTCTGCTGCAATTATTGAGAAATCCTGAAATGTTATGAAAGCAAATACATACAGTGGGGTTAGTCGTTTTTCCAAATCGAATATTGTTCCTTTAGGAGTCGATGCGTGCGAATATTTTTTTGTGATCTTGCCAATTCATCAATATTACCCCTTCCAACATTACATGTTTTTGTACCTTGAAAAGTAAGGAAATGCATTTAGGCTCTGTTTGGAAAGATGGAAAATGAGTTCTGGAAAATGACTTTTCGAAAATAAAATCATTTCCACGTGTTTGGTTGAAAGTGTGGAAAATGAAAACAAAAATTAGCTTTTGTTCTAACACAATAAAACGTGGTGAGTTTCAATCTAAGAAAACAAATTCGACACATCCATGATGCCTTGAAGAAAATTCATTTCCTGGACATATTTTTATTGAGATGATAGTGGGTGTTTGGTTGAAAGTGTGGAAAATGAAAACATTTTTAGTTTTTGTTCTAACACAATAAAATATGGTGATTTTCAACCTAAGAAACAAATTCGACACATCCATGATGCCTTGAAGAAAATTCATTTCCTGGACATATTTTTATTGAGATGATAGTGGGTGGAATGATGGATAGAAAACAATCAATTTATGGTCTATTTTAAACCCATAAAAACTTTAACACATCTATGTTGCATTGAAGAAAATGAATCTAATCCATTCAATAACAATTTCTTCACGGGTGCTTATTTAACCCACCAATACCCATACTGTTTTTCATGTGTAGAGAAGGTAATGTAATGCATAATATGATGCCTTAACACTCAATTGATGAATTAGATTAAAACTGCTATCAGCTTATCATTAACTTTTGAATGGATGGACCAGATCGATTTATCATTAGATGGAATGAACGGGTAGTGAAGAAAATGATACTTTTGCCTCCCCTATTGTTACCCCAATGCATGACTATTCTTACCCGGTAAAACTCATGATGTTTGGATGGCACACCAACAAACAATCCTTTCTGGTAAAAAGTAGCCACGGATGGGGTGACCTAGACATTTTAGAACATATATTTTTATATTACTTTCTGGTAAAAGAAATGTTAATAATATAAGGGGTATACATAATAGAGGTGCACAGGATCAATAGAACTGCTATAAGTGCTTTTATAAATGCTTTTTTGTTTTGTCAGTTTTTTTCTGTTTAGAAAGCTACAGCCCAGTAAAGTACATTCTTAAATGCATACAAAAACTCCCTTTTTATAGAACTGAAAGTCTTTTTTTTTTCATTTCCTTTATAAAGTAAAACTACTTATTTTTCTATAAAAGAACACTTGTTGTTTGAATTAAGCAATTCCCCTTTCAAAAAAAAAGTAATTCCAACGGCACTCAAAAAAAGTCCTAGCTTTGTAACTTTTAAACAGTGACAAAAGCTTAAAAGCACAAAAATAAAAGTAGATCCTGGAAGACAAATGAAAAAATCACATCATACCTTGCTCCCCATAATAGAGCCATGGGAGTTCATGGAACCAAAATCAATACCACTAATTGAATATCCGGCAGATTTTGAGCTACATCAAAACAAAATCGTTCTTGGTGAGACCAAGAAGAGTATAGGTGCATCGAAATGATGGTAATTCAGAAGTGATTAATTAGAAATACCTAAAGTTCCTAGCAAGGCTCCCATATCTAGGATCAGTAAATGCTGGTGCACATGATGAACTGGTATTTGCACTGAACTGCACACCAATGTTGAATAGACATTTAGTTCAATAAACGTAAACAAAACAATCGTGTAACATCACTACATCCCACACTCAAAGTGGCAGAGAAATGGACACATTTGAGAGCTGCTAAAGCTATGGAATATAAACATAGTGAAATGGTTTTAAAAATAACAACTCCATCCATTTTGGTGGAAGTAAGGCATACATAGCTTCTACGGAATTGAAGTAAATTCGAAGCATGCATATTACATACTCTCGTATAATACTCCCCCAAATCCCATATTCACATACTCAATAATTAGAATGCATATCAACTTCGTATAAGTCCACTTCAAGAGGTAGGTTCAAACAAGATATGTTTGACACACCAGATTGGAGAATTTGATATGCGAGAATAACGCGAAAAAATGTGGGTATAAATGTGATTATAAAAGAATTTAAATTTTTGCTTTTGTCACCTAGTGAACTATTACTCTCATAGGTTTTTAGTATAAGTACGAGAAATTGGTTTGTATAAGCAAAAGTAACCCCCTCTTGAATTTGGCTTTCCTGGAGCTTGATGTCTCTTTTCAAAAGTTGCAAATGGATTGGATTTTGAATTTGAACTCATTGTTTCACTGATTCTTTGCAGGTGTGAGCAATAGGGGAAGAAAGAAGCAATTTAAAAAAAGAGGAAATTTTGCAAGCATGAGCACGAGGATGAAAATATTAACAAGATCAAAAATATGAAAATAATAAATGAATATTACAATCTTGTAAGAAGATGACCACGTCAATATTGGCATAAAAAAAACCAATCAGTACACTTTGAGAGTAACTTTTAGCAGGTTCTTCCTATTCTCAAACCAAAAAAGAGAAGCTACACCTGAAATTTTGCTAAGAGAATGATGGCACCAACTTATTCCCAATTATAAATGATAAGTTGATGAAAAAAGATAATTCCTCAAGCAGGAAAAAAATAAATTACCAGTAAGATAA